CATTCAAAAGAGAGAATGAGGCTTCCTATAGTGAATGTGCAGCCAAGAGCAAGGCTGAAATGCTCCTAAAAACTTCATGTGAAAATCCAATCCATCTTTAAGTCATGAAGATAACTAACTCATGAAGATAGCTGACTCCACTCTGCCCTCAGAATTCATTACTTGGGGTGGGTGTGTCAAATGTGCTACAGGTATGACTCTGATGTTGGGCTTCAACAACACCAACAGGGCACTATATAGTTGTTTGCCAAAATGCAACAGAGCACTACACGGGTGACTTGTGATGACAAGTACATAAAGGGTCCCTCTTCTCATCCCTCTCTTATTCTGAATGTAAGAGAAGATATGAAGAGGTCCATCTCCCAACCAGTTAAAAGCAACACAGCAAAAAGCATGATGATCTCCTGACCTCTTCACACCACTCTCTGAACACTGTATAATATTGCTTTTCCCATCTTCAAAAGATGCTACATCTCAGTTCTAATTTCAGGTCACCCTTCTACACAGAAAGAATGTCAGGACTTCTGCTTTTCATGTTAAGAACATGTTCATGGCTCCTAATGAAACTGGAATGTTCTTGTACAGAGTTTTGACCTTTATGAAAAGAACAGAACTCCTGAGCTGCAGGTCCCCAGCCTGCTCATCTCTGTGCATTCATGGGCTTCATAAAGCAACAGGGAGATGGTGCTTTACATGAAAGTATAGATCTGGAAAATCCTGTAATATGTTGGTATGCTTTCAATGGAAGGGATGAAAAAGATAATCCCAAAAGAAAAAGAACAATCAAGTTCTGCTGCTTATATTGATGGGTCTGAATTCTGATTGGTAGAAGGCTCCCAAAAGATGTACTTGTGAGGCCTTCTCCACCCTTTATTTCAAGCTGAATTCTACCTGTGCAGTGTAGACATAACAAAACCACAACAAAACCTTCCTGTCCCAGATCAGCATGCACAATTGAAGCACTACAGGCCAAGCTATCACCAGGGTAGTTCTTTTGCCCGCTTAACTTATTTATTGTGACAGAGGCTATATACAGGCCTGGAGACATCAGCCTAAGGACATTCCTATCCCCACTCAACCATCCATTCAATGCCTCCAGCCTTCTCTAAGGCCAGACCAAAACAGCACTGGGATGGGGACTAAAGATTCAGGTGAGACTACGACAGCTGGGCAGAAAGAACTTGGGAAAACCTGCTATAGTAGTTGTTTATCTTCAAGCAAATAGAGAAAGATAAAAAGAGCAATACTAACTGGTCACAACTATGGTGGCCCAGAAGATGACAAACCCTCTTGGCAACACGCAAGCTGAGCAGCATGACTCACACAGGTATCATCTCTGTATTTGAATAGCAGGTAGCCCTTATCTAGCAACACAGCTGGGAAAGGCACCTACCAACAAAACACACAATATCCTGTTTGCTTAGCATCAGCTCTAGTCAACCACAGGGCTTGGTGCCATCTGGGCCCAGTCCAAGACCCTCCACCGCACTGTGGGATACACAGGTAGCAGCAGTGCTAGAGAAAGTCAGAGCTCAGACTACGCTGACAGTGGCTGGAGACGACACCACCCTTGCTGCAGGTGTCCTGGCCTCTCCAGACGACAGGCTATGGGAACAGACAGAAGCTCCTGAATCTCAGACCAGCTAGGAAAGGAACAGCCCTCGCGCTTCCTGCCTCCTCACAGCGGCAGCTCCGCTCCCTTTCACGAACGCAGAGCGGAAGACTGGGCGGGTCTCACCCGCTGCAGCACCGGCCCGGCGGGGCCTGACACGCCCC